AGTAGTAGTAGCTTGAGACAAAAAAGTTTCAGGGTCCTTGGGCAATAAATGAGCATGTGAGGGACAGATCTGAGGTACTGCACCACAAAATTCAACTGGTGGTCCTCTGRTTGTAGTAGTAAGAATACCACCATCCAGCACCTCCTCTTTTCTGTACAAAAAACAACACTGGCTTGTGGTGTTGTTGCCAACAAGAATGATCACCATCATAGCTACTACTAGTAGTAGTATTACTTGTACTAGTAGACAACAAAGCAATGAGCTCCATCATTCCTATTTTCTTAGAAACAACAAACTGCCCCAGTTCTTTTGTTTATTTCTTGCTTCTCRATTCATTTCATTTCCACCTTTTCTCGCACCACTTAGCTTTTGCACCGAGTGCTCAGTACTTGCRTTAGCCAACCAATTTTGTTGATGGTGGACACAAACTAAGCGCAGTTGTTCCTAACTGCTCTTAGCCTGTTACTATTGCTCTTGGACCGGTGCCACRGGACATTCTGGGCCTCTTGGCACTGTCATGCCTTATGTTCATACCTCTGTGGTCTGAGGTTGTAAGAATCTAAGTGGTCAACTATTTGAACTTTCTGAGTGTTTGCTGAAATCAGGATTTGACTAATGTGATTAGATCTATGTGCAGTGAAATATGTAATGGTCTGGGGTTTACGGGTTGGTGTATTGATGCTGTTGACCTATTACTGTTTYGCGACAGGTTTTTCTCCTGTGTTAAAGGGCAGGGAAGGGGGTGCATCTTCCTCTTTCACATCRTGTCTCATCCTACCATGGCAGTCCTTCACTGCAATATTTTTGAGAACAAGGCCAATGCTGACAACATGGAGGGCTTTCTGACTGTGGCTGAGGGCTAGGACTGGTGAAACCCTGTTGTTGTCAAGGATCACTTGGTACATGTGTCCTGGGTTCCATGGGTTTTGGTTCTCGGGTGGTGGTGGTGGTGGTGGGGGGTGATCCTTCAGGATGGTGATGATTGTGTTGCGGATTGTGGGGGCAASGGCAAGGGTTGGCATGTTGGTGTTTGTAAGCTTAGGGAGGTTTGGGTTGTACAAATTTTACCTTGCGAGCATTTGTTCGCGGTTGATTCTTGTTGTCATTGTTTACTCTTAGTGTTGTTTGGTGTGGTGGTGTTTTTGTGGCACTGTGTTGCCGGGGCAGCTTTTTGTGTGGTTTTGTTGTCTCAATTTGTTGTCTATTGGTGATGGTTGTTGAATTTCTTAGTTAGGCATTGGTCTTGTTGTTGTTCGTTTTTTGATGTCATTTTGAGACAAGGGGGTGTCAGGGTGATGGGGTGTAAGTTGGTTGGTTGTTTGTGGTTGTGGATTGGCGGGGTTGGGTCAGTCCGTTGTTTGTTTGTTTGGTGAATTTTTCATTCTATTTAGTGACTRGCATTTTGCGCTGGGCGCTTGTTTAGTGTGTTGGTGGTACTATGGTGGGGTGYGGGATGTTTGCTGCACACCAGTGGGAGTGCTTCTTTGGTTGATTTGTTTGCTGTGGCAAGCGTTTGAATTTGGTGTTTGGATCACAGTGGGAGTGTTACGTGCCTGTCRATACAGTGGAGTGTCATGTTGGTTGCTGTAAATTCTGTTTGGCGGAGATTTGTTGYGTCTTCATTGGATTCTCTTGGTATGTGTAGTGAGTCTCCTGCTGAGGCGACGATGACGAGCTTGATGTGTCAGGGTGAATCTTCCTCTTTCACACCATGTCTCATCCTACCGTGACTTTCCTTCACCACACTACTTTTGAGAATGAGGCCAAGGCTTGTTGAGGTGTAAGGCTATTGTATTTGTGGGGTATCCCAATTTGCAAGGTAGCTATTTGTTGTCTGGTTAGTAGTACTACTGTCTTTTGTCTGTACATCGTTTCCAATACTCAACGAAATGATGCAACATAAATACTGGACCCTCTGTTAGTTTTTAAGAAAGACAGTCACCAACCAAGATCAGGCTTTCCCATAGGTTTTTCCATGTTTAAACAAAGAGAAACAAAGAGAGAATTGCCCAGGAAATATTATCTTTGTTTCACTGGGTTTACGGGAAACTATT